GCTGTTGTTGCGCGAGTCTATTTGCAGTCATTGTAGACATACCAACAACAGTTGTTGTTGCGCCGCCAGTTGTTGCCGGCGTCGCGTGCATATTGCTGATGCCATCATGAATATTAGAATGCAGCGCTGCTAGCGATGTGGCTGGTACGTTTCCAGCCATGCTAGTTGCAATCGGAGCCATTGCCGAGGCATTTACGTAACTCGCCGTAGAATGCCTGTGCCGCAGAACATAAATGTGCGTTCATACATTGCAAAGCGCGCGGAAAGGGTGGTGCAAAAAAGCACAAAGACACACCGAAGGAGCGATATGCGATGTGAGGTGAGCACGAAAGTACGAGTGACGGAACAGTGATGAGCGGTAATGATGAAAATAAACAAAAAATTAACAGAAAATTTATAGATATCAAATTTGCAATGTAATCGAAGAAAAGAACATTGATCGAGCTGCACAAAGCGTATATATGTAGCTAGTCACATACATACATACATATACAGATAACTCACCTCAAACCAATGGATGGGGGGCCAATGCTACCGCTACCGCCGCCGCCGCCAGCACCACCGAGTGCCGCTGTTGTTGCTGCAGCAGCGCTGGTCTGTCGAAAATCAATGCCATTTTCCAAAGCATGTTGCTGCTGTACACCAACAGCTCCACTTGTGTTTAGTCTCGTGGCACCTCCGCCGACGCTTGTTACTGCCGTTGTTGTCGTATTGGGTAGACGCGCATTTACTGTTAATGCTGAGAGAGATGTGGTCACTGCGGTGGCGAGCGAGGTTGCAGCTGCTGTTACTACAGTTGTTAAGGCCGTGTTGGCATTAACTAGACCATTGCCACCACTGGCACTCCAGCCGGCGCCCAGGTTGTTGCCACCTAGCGCATTTACCGCCGCCGTTGTTGTCGCAATTGCTGCTGCTGCGCAAGCAGCCGCTATGGCGGAGGTAGGTGTGTTGGCTACTATGCCTGTAGCCGTCGTTGTTGCTGTTGATGAGAGAGTAGCAACGCTGGTGGACACCGCTGACGATGATACGACCGTGGCTGTAACATCGTTAGGTGCAGTTCAAACTTTTTTATACTTTCTTGATTTTTTGTTTGTTTGTTTTTGTTTTATGGAAAAGCTAGAGAGATTTCTATGTAAAGCGAGCGAGAATTTCGACCCTCAATGAAAGGGAAATGCTGAATTTTTCACACTATTCAAAGATCGTATGTCGGGTAGGTAAATAAGTTATGATTTTTTCATGGAATTTTTAAATTCAACACAAAAAACTGGTTCAAAAACTCATTTAACTGCTAAAAAACTTATAAACTCGCCTCAATCATATAAAAACAGCCCAGCTAAGCTTGTGTATGGAAAAAAGGGTATGTATGTAGAAGTGAATATGAAATGCCAACCGTTGCCAGATTATATTAATAAAGATCCGTAGAAGAACACCAAATAAAATAATATGTATTTACTTATATAAAAACACCAAAGAAATGTTGAGAAACAGAAGAAGGTTTTAATAAGAATGTTTGGCTTTAAATAATAGAAGGGCTGGAAGTTAAATGAAAATGGTGGCAAAAAGCATTTGCGATTTGATAAAATATACATAATAGATACTCTTGGAAAGCCTAAAACCATATTTTTGCATTGCTTGCTTGTGTGGGGGTAGGGGCAACAAATTACACCTATGAAAAGGTTTTTTTTTTATTTCTCAATAGGAAAAAAATAATAATGCAAAGAAAAGAAACAAACACCATTTTTTAATTTTAAATTTTTTAAGATTTTCATTTTATATTCAGCAAATTTCAAAAATTTTAAATACTAATTTAAATAATATATTAAGCTAAACGTACGTGAATGGTTGACTGGTGGATTGATTGATAGGTGAATATATATGCATGTATACGACAGAGTTTTGGGGAAAATAAATATTCTCAACTTTGCCTTCATAAACATAGTTAATTTTATTTATATGGTAAAAAGTAAAGTAGTATAATATATATGTATATATATTTATATAAGGTAGGTATACTATAGTAGTTTTTATATATTTCATAACTTAGCATTTACACAGAAGCAAACCGTGAATGCGGATGGTTAAATGATAGGTGTTAAATGTGAGCATGGATGTGCTTATGAGCGGGTGCAATGAGTGGTGGAAAAACGCAAATATGTATGTCTGTATGTACATATGTTGGTATTTTTATTACTATACAGCTTTGCTGCTGTATGTATAATTATAAAATGTAGTAATGATGAGGAATTTTAGTGATTTTTGCAATTAAATTAAATTTTAAAGAAAATGCTGCCGATCCATATATTATTGCCGAAAAAATTTATTTTATCGCACTAAATTGTTAGGTAGATTTTCAGTTAGTTTTAGCATGTTGTAAGCGGCTACCGCAGCCGGGAAGTTAGAGGTGCGTACTATCACTCCGGGAATCCAGGGTTCGATTCCTGGTCCCGGCAACGTCAAAAAGGAAAGTGTTTCTCACAAAAAAAAAACAAAAAAAAAAAAAACAATTAGCAACATGGAGTTGGCGTAAAAGTGTAGGACCTCCTCTTGCGTTACAAGATCAAAACGCACAACACAACTGGGAAGTGAAGCTCGGCCAAAGACGCAGTAATGAGTAAGTGCCAAATAATTAATTACTTTAGGAACATATACTTAACCCCTAAGTGCGCAAAAAAAACAGTAGATTTTTCAAATATGTCTATTATTTCAACGAGTTAATAATTTTTAAACAGTTAAATAAAAAATAGGAGTTTGAATTCATCTAACCAAATTCCAGAGGCCATGTGAAAAATCGAAAGAATGGTTAATTGTTGTCAGAAAAATAGTTGTCGTTCAATATGTAACATCCCTGCCGTCAACAGCCAAACAGTAATTAATATGGTAAATCAATTGGTAAAAAACGACCTTCTTATTAAGTGCTAGGAGCTGATGTTGTATGAGCCAGTTCGACCAACTCGAACCACTTTCTTTTACGCCATTAGCGACACAGACAACATCGTTTGTTCTTTGACCGGGCCGATAATTGCCGTAAACGAGGTAAGAGCTAACCCATGAGGTTCAACAGATAGCAATTCACAAATGTTCCAGTTGGTGCGGGCTTTGGACGGATGGAGTCATTGGTAGGTACTTTTCCGAAAAGCACCTGATGATGATTACGGATTTATTTTAACTTAAATTGAACGGATATGCCAACTAACCCGAATAACATTGAAATAGAAGTAATTCCTGGTAGAATGCAGAAATTTTAAGAGGCCAGAAGAATGAAGGTGCACATTTTTTGGCATTCCGTTGATACATTTCTTAACTATGATCTGTTATTTATTGCCTCTCTTAAAAAAAAATTAAATATTTTTGTAATTATAAAGCATTTCTAGCAATCTTTGCAATTTTATATGAATGCTATTATACTGGAAGTCAAGAAGGGTTAAAGTTTAAAAACAAATAACTTTTGAACTTGATATTTTAGTAGACATTTCCGCAGCATCGATTATAAAATCAAATGCTATGTTTAAGCATCATTACTACATTACTCTTGCAATTGTTCTCAGGTGCATGCACATGAACGCAGGTGTTCGCGAAGACATACATACATACATATCCGCATTTCAGATTCTGCATGAAGTGAATGTTACAAAATGTTAATTTATTTCCAGCCAATATTAAAAAAAAAAATTTTTGTTATTTTTTACACAAACCAAAAGATGCACCAACAAAAAAAAAAAATTAATTTGAATTAGTTACAAATTATGTATGCTTTGTGTGCGTATATGTGCATGTGTGTTATTTATATGTATTTCCGTAGGTATGCGCCTGTTTTTGGTGGTTACAAACAAATTTGATTTGTACTCTAGTCGTATTACCGTTATGGCAAACTGTTATGCATATTTGTTAATATATTTTATATATCAATTTTTTTTTTAGTTCTGATGATGATTTATGTAAAATGTGTGCAAATCATATATAATTGGTTTGATACATACATACAAATATTGTATATTTCTTTTTTTTATTTTGTTTTGTAACCGCTTATGCGTGCGTACACACATATACTAGTAGTAGTTAATGTATAGTAGTATAGTACATACATACATAAATATACATTTACTTATAATGAAACGTACATTAACTAAATTTTTAAAAAGGTTTAAATGCTAGTAAAATATATGTACAATGCGTTTAATTTTGTTTCCGTTTGGTTTCAATGACGCTATATTGTATGTAGTATATAGCATTCGTATTTATTAATAAGAAATATTCAAGTAATCAGCATGAGAAAAAATTTTGAATTTCCATATACGAGTCATTTGTGTTCTATTGAGGTTATATTGCATATAAATTTTTATTTCCAAAACAAACAAAAGGCCAATTCACGTTAAACTTACATCAACTAGAAAAAAAAAGAAGAATTACCTTTAAAAAAATAAAGATAACATATTTATGCATAAATACTGGGCCCCAAAATTATTGAAAAGAAAACTAAGAGGAAGAATTTTACATATGTAGCAAAAAAAAAACAATTAATTGTAAGCTTAACACCAAAAACCAACAAAAAAAACTTAAACTTGATTTTTTCTCTAAACTATTTTTTCTTTGTACGTCCGTTTTACTCGTACGTTTCGGCACCAAAAATTTGTATGTTTCTTGTCATTTAACTTGATTTTAGATAAGTGAAATTTAGAGCCGTAAGTGAAAAGGCAGCCGCTCACATTTAGTACATTTTGTAAGTATGTATGTATGTGGGTAAAGAGTCTGCATTGTACCAAAGCCTGTGAGAGATTTTTTTTTTTGTCCATTTCTGCATCCATTTCCATTTTTTATTACGTATGTATATAGTAATTCTTTCGCCTTTTTTCAAATTCTTCCTAACTTTCTTTTAATGCTTCGCGCATCCATTCATCGCATCATTCGCATTAACTTTCTCTCCTCCTTTCTCTCACTATCTTTCTCTTGTGTACAAGCTTTTGTTTAATTTCTTTCTATTCGCACTGCGCTCTTTCACTTACCTTGGCTCTGTGTTGTATTGGTTTTCAGTGGCACGGCGAGGCGTGCGTTAACGGCCAATAGATGATCTCGTCGTGCTATTAGGCTGGTCACATGCTCCTCTAGGCGAACATTTTCACGTTGCAGTTGATGTAGGCAGGATAGAAGGGAAGCGACTGTAAAATATAAGGTAAAAATTGTATTTATTAGTAAAAATTTGTTCACTATTTTATGTTTGTGTGGTGGATTGTAAGGAAGAGAGGTTTGTACGCTAATTGACGAATGAAAATCTTCTTTAATAATGTAGGAACTAAAACGGGGTGGTTGAGGTCAAAGAACTGTGGAACAAAGAAGTTGTCTCTCCCAGATCGATATATCATACTTCAAGATCCGACAGTAAATGCCGAAGATATGACGAAAAATGTAAAAAGGCGACTCCTACGTTCAGCGATAAAAGAAATTGCCTCCTCAAGACAAAACCGTCGATATAGTATCATACCAAAGATACATACGACTGAAAATGCCTACGTTCGGCAAAAAGAAATTTCGAAATTGTCTTCGTATCGATATGCCTTAGCAAAAGTTTAATGGTTTTTGGCGAGCTTTAATTTACTACCATTAGGCTGGTACGTTAAGGTGATAAGAACTGATATCAGCTGGTATGTACCAAAACGGGGTACTTGAGGTTTTTTTTAATTTTTTTTTATGCAGAAATCCATCTAGAAGGTATAGGAAAATTTCTGCATCAAAAAGAAAATTAAAAAAAAAAAAAAATGTGGCTTACATTTTTTTGGCGGTTACGGCTCTATATATGTATGTACACATATCTTTTTTTTTTGGAACTATCCTACAAAAATACTTTAGATTCAGGGGTGTACGACAAACTATTTTTCTGGTACGGTCTAATGTAAAATGTCATAGTAAATTATACCTAAAATATTAGTCTGAATTTCTTTATAAAAACGTTAGTTTCTCCTTTGGAAGATCGACTATGTCTTTAAACAAGTTTTAGTGGTACCTCTTTCAGTATCTAAATATTTTGCATGACAGGGCTCTGACGTGTGATGCTGGCCCCATTCATTTATTTGGGCTTTCCATTCACTGTGTTGATCTACCGAAAAGAAGAAAACAGACCTTACCCCGCCGAGCCGATAATTTCAGGAGCAATTTGCATTCCTCTCTTCTTTTTTGGCACAAATTGAAGAACTCCTGCCTTCACTACCTATAGAAGGGCTTTTGTTGGACGTACTTTAGTAGACGTTTTGGAGTTCCTTTAAAGTTGCGTCAACAACGCGGCTAAAATATGTTTCATTATCTTCTTGTCTCTTATTTGGAGGAATCAACCCACACCAACAGTTAAATTTTCCTTTGTACTCCAGGACTAAAGAGGATTTTACTCTACGTGGAGCCTAGAAGACCGATTGCCTACTACTCTAGAAAATGACGCTCACTCACAATAATTCCTTCGCATGACTACTCGATGAAACAAAATCTCAGAAAAAAAAACCAAGAGAAGTAATTGCCAAATTATAAATCTACATCACTTACTGTCAAAATGCTGCGCTTGCTCCATCAGAAACTGTGAGCCTTGCTCCCACTGACGTTCGAGCAGCTGCTCCAAACTCTGCGGTATGGCCATATTTCCATTCACACCGCTGCCAAACATCGAGGCCAACGATGTGCCACCCGACATTTCAGCTGCAGCAGTTGTTGCACTGCCCGAATTCGTGCCAGCCGTATTATTGCCAGTTACATTTGGCGCTGTAGAGTTTCGCTGTGAAGGAGAAAAACAAATGTAAATATTATTAATTTTAAGTACACTTTATTGAATTAATTCCTAGGCAGGGACAGATATAAGTTTTATCGGAAAAATGTTGTTCCATAACAGTTATTAGATGAGAAATATTTTTTATTTCGCCGATAAGAGTTTACTTTTTACGTTGCCTGATAACTGTTATGCAGGAGAAATATGTTTTCCGTTGCCAATAAGAGTTATTTCACAACGTTTACATTTTACGTTGCTTGATAACAGTTATTTCCCAACATTTATTTTCTACGTTGCTTGATAACAGTTATTACCTAAAGTTAATTTTTACGTTGTCTGATAACAGTTATTTCACTCCACCTCTTTTGTTTTCATCATCTTTCTCTTCTTCTCCAGCTCCGTTTTCGTCAATATTCTTATCTTACAACGTTTATTAGACAACGTAAAAAATAAACGTTGGGCAATAACTGTTATCAAACAACGTAAAAAATAACCCTTTGTTATAACTCTTATCGGCGAAATAAAAAAAATATTTTTCATCTAATAACTGTTATTAAACTGTTATTTTGTAAATTCGGAATATCACTTATTTTTGGTCCGTGTTCCAATTTACTCACCACTGTCGACTTGCCGGGGAAGGGCACTCCCACAAATTGCTGTGTTACCACATCTGCAGTGTAGATGCTGTGATCCTGTATTTCCATGTGTAGTTGATCGGAGAGCTTCTGCGCCACATTGCTATTCGGATTCAGTTGATTGCCAAGCATATGAGCGGCTGTGTGCAACGCTGTACCACTGCTGGGCGCACTTGAAGCTGCATTGGTTGCTGCTGACGTTACAGCAGCTGTTGTGGGTGTGGCACCAATCACATGTCCACCATTTTGAAATAATTTCACATCAACTTTCGCCTCATTTGCAAGCGGATCCTTAGCTTTGCGGCCGCGCTTACGTGGCGCTGTGGCGACCGCACTCACTTCAGAGCCCGGCGAGCTGGGCGGCGAGTCTTTGATGGCCGTGGTCGAAGTTGTTGTTGTGGTGATATTGCCTGTCACAGCACTAAGTGACGCGGCTGCTGTTGTGACGGCAGTAAGTAGATGCGCAGCCGTGGAATCGATGGTGGGCGGTGTACCAATGCTGGAGATTTGAGGTTCGTAACTGAATTTAAGGCCACCGCCACCACTACTACTGCTGCTGCTGGAGGAGGCATTCGAGATGGCACTGCTGTTCGCGACAAATGACGAGGAGGAAAATATACCGCTGTCCGGCGTTCTGTGGTGAATACCACCGGTAGAAGAAGTAGTTGTTGGTGTGGTAGCAGCATTTGCAGGGGATGATTGCAATGTTTTTGATTGTGGTGCGTTGTGTTGATGATGATGAGTTAGCGTAGAAGAAGTAGAAGAGTTGGATGGGGTTAATTGCACAATTTCAATGATATCATTGCTACTGCTGCCGCCAACAGCAGCAACGCTGGCCTGCTGTTGCTGTTGTTGCTGCTGCTGCGACTGCGACTGAAGCTGTTGCTGTGATTGTTGTTGTTGCTGTTGCGTTGCGTTAGTGGCGCTATTGCTATTTCTATTACTATTACCATTATTATTGTTATTGCTATTATTATTATTATTGTTGCTATGGTTGCTGGTGACTGTGTTAGTAAAAGCAGCAGAAGAAGCAGTGTTGTTTGAGGAAGAAGCAGAGGAAGGATTGGAAGTTAAGTGATTAGAATTGGTTTGTTTAGATAAAGCTTTAGCAGGCGAATCTCTGGCTTTGTTAGAGGAAGAAGAGGTGGACGCATTGCCAGAGGAAGTAGAGGAAGATACAATGGCGCTAGCGGCTGTATTAGTATTTCTACCGCCGCCATTTTTATGTTCAGGCGAACGTTTTTGATGTTGTTGTTGTTGTTGCTGCTGTTGTTGTTGTTGTTGTTGCTGTTGCGCGGCCAACTGTTGCTGATAGAGCGTTTGCTGTGCACGCAATAATTTCTTATTCAAAGGTTTGCCACTCAAATTTGTGGCGACCAATGGCGCATCGCTGGCCACCTTACCAGACGTGCCCCCACTGCTGCTCGCCTCTGCTGCAGTATTAGAAGCGCCCGAACCACCATTATTATTACCGCCACGTCTACCACTACCAGCACTACCTTGATTTGCGCTAAGGTTAACGGCATCACCGTTATTACCCCCAGCTTTGCTGCTGGCATCTGTGACATCATGGCCGATGGACGAGGAAGAGCTTGTCGTAGGCATTCGATCAGATGCAGCGCCAGTCAGTGATAGATTCGTTGGCGTCGATGAGCTGTTGGCATTACCACTACCATTGTTTCCGCTGCCTGCACCGCTATTTTCGTTAACACCACTGCCATTAGCGCCTCCGCTGGTGTTGGCTCCTCCTCCTCCGCCTCCGCCTCCGCCTCCGCCTCCTTTTTGCCTTGTTGGCGACGCTGTATTGGATGCATTGCTATTGTTGTTGCCATGTAACATGACAATCGGCGATGGTGAGGGTGTGTGGGTAGGCGTGGGTGTTGGGGTTGGTGTAGGCGTAGGCGTAGGTGTGCTGGGCGGTGGCAGCGAGAGTGGTGAGGGTGCAGTGGGTGGTGGTGTCGGTGTAGCTAGTTCGGCGCGAAAATGTTGCTGTATGGGCGATGGTGATGATTTCGACATTTTTTCGACCGGTGAATCTCGATTCTTTCCCCCCACTAAGGCCGCGGCGGCAGCGGCAGCTGCAGCGGCTGCGGCGGC